TAAACACTAATGAGAAGGTTTAAGTGAAAAAATAACACGTACACGCAACAAAAATCCTGGAGAAGACGACCAATATAGCAGCAGCCTCAGCAGCAATATGTCTAAACATACACAAAAGGAAAAGCAAGATTCTCCGATACAACACAGCACGCAACAACCGAACCACACTTGACGGAGAAGATTTGGAAGGTGTAAAAACCTTTACATATCTGAGCGGCATCATTGATGAACACGGTGGATCTGATGCAGATGCGAAGACATGTATCGGCAAAACATGAGCAGCATATTTACAGCTAAAGAATATCTGGAACTCAAAACAACTGTCAACCAACACCAAGGTCAGAATTTTCAATACAAATATAAAAAAACAGTTCTACTGTATGGGGCGGAAACTTGGAGAACTACGAAAGTCATCATACAGAAGATACAAGTGTTTAATAATAGCTGTCTACGCGAAATACTTCAGATCGGTTGGCCAGACCCTATCAGCAACAACCTACTATGAGAGAGAACAAACCAGATCCCGGCGGAAGAAGAAATCAGGAAGAAGCGCTGGAAGTGGATAGGATACACATTGAGGAAAGCACCCAACTGCGTCACAAGACAAGTCCTCACATGGAGTCCTCAAGGCCAAAGAAGGAGAAGAGGAAGACCAAAGAACACATTACATTGAGAAATGTAGACAGATATGAGAGGAATGAACAAAAATTGGATAGAACTGGAAATGAAAGCCCAGGACAGAGTGGGTTGGAGACTGCTGGTCTCTGGCTTATGCTCCATTGCGAGTAACAGGCTTAAATAAGTAAGTAAGTAACAAGTGAAGTTTCTCTTTTCTCTTTTGATTTAAAATCACATTAATGATTCATTTGTAACGTGATGACTGAATATTAAAATAATTATTTTGTTTAAATATTATCTCAATTTATATTTACCTCTTTTAAATAACTATAATTAATATAACATATAATACAGGTGTATATTTAGTGATTTAATCTTCAAATAAAAAGTGTTATTTCAGATTGACTATTGTCATATTTTCATTTGCCTAGGTTACTGGTGGAATTGATAAAATAAATTCAAATAATCCCACATTAACACCATTGGTTGCCAGCTAAGTAATCTGGAGGTTAAGCGTCCTTGTGAGAGATTAAAGGTCCTGATTTTGAATCAAGCGGGTGGGATCGTGGATGCGCACTACTGAGGTGTACCATACTAGGACGTCTAGTACTCCCAAGTTTACAATGATGGCTTAACATTGATCGATGCATGTTTTCAATGTAATTCAACAGTTTCCACAACTCTAGACTTACAACTCTAAAGTGATTTACACTATAAAATAATGTTATCTGGCAAATTTAGCATTGATTTGAATGTAAAACAAACTGCTTGTTAATGATATTCTGAGTGGTTCCTACTGGCTTTTGTTATGTTTATATAGCTTGTTAATTATCACGTGATACGACCGCCAATTAAAACACCGACTTATATGACCAAATCAATGATGCATAAACCAGTACGAGCAGTCCAGAGTAAATTCTAGGTTCTTATTAGTCCACCGGGATATTTGCTTCTCTCTTAACCCAACCGGTTCAATAAAGAATACCAATATCAGCCTCCACTTTATGAATCATATATTACAAACATACTGGGTTTATATACAAACAAATCAAACTACATCACACCATAAAAAAAAACGAAAAAATATCTTTACAAGATCAAAGCAAAAGTTACAGTGATTATGAGAAACTGTGACTAATAGATTGAGAAGAACTTGAGAATAGTAAATCATATAACAGTAACCAATTAGTCAATTAAGAGCTTATAATGAAAGGAATACGAACATACTAATAATATAGTTACTCAATAGTTGTACAATGAGAATATCTATATATCACTCTCTGTTCTCACTCTCTTCCCTTCGATCGTCTTAACCTTCTTCTACCAGGCATTTCACTTTGGAATGGTGACACATACTGCTTATATCTGTCGATATCAGTAGTACACACCACAATTGTAGTAGTAATAAAAGTAGTATATTATTTCATAAGCTCTAAAAATTTAATTTATTGTACAATCAAAATCATAAGAAACATTACAATTTTATTTTTCTTAAATTCTTTTTGTTTCAAATCATTTTCTTAATCGAGTTTTTGCACAGAACTAATGTCAAATAGCCCCGTTTAGTAAGTAATGTTTGTAGTAGTAGTAGTAGTAGTAGTAGTAGTAGTAGTAGTAGTAGTAGTAGTAGTAGTAGTAGTAGTAGTAGTAGTAGTAGTAGTAGTAGTAGTAGTACTGATATGCGTGACCTAAATTAATTCCAATTAAACAAGAGCCTTCGTTACGCCTACTTGTTATCTTTTTTCCCCTTAATAAATCATAATATTATTACAATTAATATTATGATTATTATATTAGCATTTCAACTGTTATCACTGATGGCGGTATTCTTGTGTCGCTTCAATGTTATACAGTGTACAGCTACATGTGCATATATATATATATATATATATATATATATATATATATATATATATATATATATATATATATATAGAACATCTTATCTATGAAGATCGACTATATGTATGTGCATGAATAGGTATACCTATATGTGTGTGGCTATATATCCATATGTATCTGTGTGTGTATATTTATGTTAGAGAGAGAGAGAGAGGAAAAAAGATACTACTCAAAAATTTACCAAATAATTACCACTACTACTATAAGCTTATTATATAAGTATAGTAAGTAGATATTAAATTAATTTGATTCTACAAACAAACACTTATATTTGTATACTATTAGTCAAAACAGTAGTGAGTAATATATACAAGCATAATAATAATAATAATAATAATAATAATAATAATAATAATAATAATAATAGTAATAATAATAGTAGTAATAATAGAAACGATAGAGTAAAGGCACTATAGTTTATATAGAAAATGTATATCATTGGAAAAAGATTCTTTTTGAAAAATATATCAACAACATTGAAATATGAACATTGGTTTGTTTAAGATGGGAAAAAACGAATGAATGAATGAATGGAAGAGAAGAATAGGGTGTAGTTTTCCTCCATTTTCTTGTTTCTTATGTTGTTGAAAACGTTTACTTCTAATCCGTAATTGATTAGAAAGTTACTTATTGAATTCGTTCGTAGGGAAGAAAAGAATCCTCATATTATTCAAATGAAATATTATTAGGTCTTATATGATAGATGATAAGTCTTGCTCATTGAACACTATATTCGGTTCCTAAGCTATTCTTGTAACCGCACAAGCTAGAACTATACAGCTATTTGAACATGAGAGAAAAAGCGTGAAATATGCGAGAAGCACTTGACTTCAAATATTTGTTTTAGTAGAGAAAACATAGAGTTTTTATAGTATTTTAGATGTCTTTGGGTTTCCCGAAAATTTCGGAATACTACTCAACATAGTAGCAGTATAGTAACCAGCCAATCAGAAACTCTACATGTGACTTTTCACTTTCTTGATGTTTCTGGCTAAACTTCTAGTGAACGCTGATTGGAAAAAAAATGCTTCTTAGTGTTTCTTAATCCTTTCTTGTCTTTTGTGAGAAGTTTTCTAAATCATCCCAACAATACACTAATTTAATCTTTGGGAACTACGAGGCATTGTATAGTCATTTTACCCTAATAAAAGACTTTTCAACTAAATACCTGTTGTATCCTGATAAGAATAATGAATGGTAATTTTTGGGATGCATTAATGGACCAATATTATGAGTATATTTTTATTGTATAATTGTTATGGAAATAAACTGATCATATTCATGTCGCTCTTATTATAAGCTTTGATTTAACCCATAGACTATAATTATACGATTTACCATTCATGAATTATTCCCTGTCTGTTAATCGCTACCTCCCTCATTCACAGCCACATCTGGCTAATTCTTGTACAAATGTTGTTTCATATTATATTGGTACGTTGTGGTCGGTTTGTTTGGTATATAAACTCAGTATGTTTCAAATACAATGATTCATATCTCAGAGGCTGAGGCTGGTGTTCTGGACTAAACTGGCTGGGCTAGACAGGGGTCCGAACGATAATACGCTGCCGTCTAATCAGCAGTCACACAGTCATAACAATACCTATTTAAGATCTTATTGGACATTGAACTCAAAACTTTCAAGTCTCTTTACAAAGTGATTACATGTACTTAGATCATACTAGAATAAAATGGTTGTTCAATGAGTCTTATCTAATTAAGATTATATCGTTATGTGAAGTATGAAATTAAAAAAGAAATTTCACAAGAACACACAATCATCATTTTTATATCATCAAATGTATTGCATAATTAGTAACTGTGTCTAACGATGGTTAATATGTTGCTCACTTCTTTACTTTTCTCTGAATTTTAAGGAGAATCCCATGTACTTCTATCATTAATTAATTTAACGTGATAATTTTATATTGAATGGTAATTATATATAGTACACGTTATCAGTGAATAAAAGTTTAGTCTCATAGATTGTTATGACATAACTGAAATAGTAAAAGTCAATCTAGAAAACGGATCAGTATGATATTGTACCTTCATCAAGAAGGTGCAAGTATTTATAAATAGTTGTCTACTCCAGATATTCAACATTCATTGGACGGATACCATCAGTTACAGCCTTCTGCGGTAGAAAACAAATCAACTTCCAGCTGAAGAGTAAATTAGGAAACGTCTATGGAAGTAGATAGGACATAAAGTACAGAAATCATCAAAATACATCAAGAGACAAGTCCTAACTTGGAATCTTAAGGGAAAACGGAAAAGAGAAAGACCAAAGAACACATTACGTCGGGAAATAGAAGGAGATATGAAAAGGATGAATAGCAACTGAAAAGAGCCGGAAAGAATTGCTCAGGATAGGGTTGGATGGAGAGTGCTTGTGGGAGGCCTATGCTCCTCCACAAGAAGTAACAGGCATAAGTAAAAAGCTTTAAATAACTTTTTCTAGAAAAAGATTGACTCACGTGAAACACTATCCGTTGGCTTTTGTGAACCTAAAAATGAAACATGAGGGGATAATTATGTTTCGTAATATATATATATATAATCTTGTGACATTTCAACCATATCACACATTGTCATAGTTAGAGATGCTAACATTGAGCTGCAAGACTATAATTTTAACATAAATCATTCACTGAATGACAACTAATATCATGTTATATAAGTTCTTAAAGTTTATCGAGTTTCATCTGCTAAGTTACAATATAGCCACTTCTGTTAAGAGGTTTATTCAGTGCATGTTTATATGCATTTATGTATATATGTTTGTATGTTTGCATCATATAATTAATCTGGATCAGCTTTTGTTCAGTAGTGTTAACGAATATCTAAATAATGTTTATTCATTAAGCTTTATCAACTATGAATGTGTAGAACTCTTAGAATTCAGAAGTAATCGGTAAGTTTTCCTATAACTAAGATTATTTCAAAAAAGTGAATGGTGTGAGAAACTATGCTAAGCTCTTTCGAAAAGAATTTCTTCCGAGGGTTACATAGATGAATAAATAGTGTATTTCTGGAATGGATCCACTAGCAGTCGTCACTTTTCAATATGTAAAAGGTTTTACATTTAACCGATAAGATATTCATTTATTCAGTGATTAAATAAGCCTAAACTTAGGTATTTGTTTAGGTTTTATAGCTCAGTAGGTAAATGAATATAACAGAACTTTGAAGGTTTTCTAACTTTTTCTCTTAGCTCTAGTAGCGAAATAGGTATCACTGTTAGGAAAGAACTAATTTAGAAAGAAATGCTCACTATTTGATTTCTACTCGGTGGTCTATGGTCAACTCACTACTCATGAGACTGAGAATATCGAATTCACTCTCTAGCAAAGTTGTTAATGGACATTTCTAAGTAATCTTAAACTATCCAATGGTCTTGAGATTTCAAGAATTGTCTAGAAGAAACCAATTCATGATCTTAAACATCTTTCACTTACAATGATGACTGATTAGAACAGAAAACTAATATAATACATGTCATTATAGATTGATCTCAGTTAATGTGTCTATTAGAACAAGCAAAAAATCAAAAACCATTTCTTTGCATTGTAGAACTTCTTAGCAGTGCGTCAACATTAAAGACCAAACCCAAGACCATAAGGTATCCTTACGAGTTCCTATACTAGGCCGAAATATCTGTTCAATGTTTTTGAGTATTCAATGATGTTCGAACTGAAATAAGTCTACGACAAATACTACATATTTAATAAACTAATCTTTACAAAATTATTTTATTAAAAATATACCTATCAATGTGATTTACCTGTTTGAATAAACCGATAAACTGCTTGAAATCCTCTATGAGCAATAGTTGAATCACTATGAAATCTTAACCACATATATTGACCAGTTGATATGAGTCCAGTGCCTAAATCAGGCACTTGTTTTGAACAAAATCTTCCCAATAATGTAGTAAATCCAAAAGCACCATCTCTTATTTCTAAAAAATCTGTTGTACAATGTGATTCCGGTTCTAATTCAAATGTTCCACGAAAATGTAACACAATACGATGTTGATCGGTAGGTGCTGTGTGTAAAAAAACAAAATGGAGGGAAGGTGCTTTTTATTCACATCAGTTATAATAAAACATACTAATGTGAATTACATAATACGTCAAATAAAAATATTAATTTCATTATAAATTAGTAAGAATTGAAAAGCTTATATGCTTCACATTTAAATTGCTTGATACTGACTTCCTAACCACTTTCTAGTCCTCAAGAGTCTTCTACAATTGATCGCTAAACGTAATACAAAAGGTGTAAAGTAGGAAAAGATCTACTCTTAAGTAAAATTTATGCATGAGGAACAAGAATATTCAGAGAATAATGTACGATCTAAAGACGTGAGAAGCTTCTGAAGGAAGCTCCAGAATGAACAGTAGAAACTGTAATTCTTCAGTCAGAATAGTGAAGACATTTTCGAGTGTTTTCTACAGTTCATTTGGAAGTCTCTGCAAAACGCTGATTTATCAAAGTAGTTTCAGCATTCTTCTGGCTTTTGGAGACATGTTCTAGCAATTGTCAGGAGTTCCTGATAAAAACTACCGATGACACTAGCGGTTTTTTGTCTAATTTTGTTACTTCTCATCAGTGTACAGATATAACACGTAAAAGTGATAATACTCAAAGCTTTAACATTTACATAACATCAGTTAATTTGAAATTTAGACACATTTATGACTAAATAACACTCATAAACAAGTATTTTTACTCCCAACTGTCATCTCCTCATGATTTGATGGAGAAGAATCAATCTAATAAAACTCTGCTCCTTTGAGCTGGGTGATTTGATTATGACGTGATGTTTATCCAGTTTTACGAGATTTCTCAACAACGTACACATCTGGTTATGTCAACTTTTTAACACGATCTGTGCTCATTAGCTAGTACACGTTTAAATCTTCTAGTAACTCTTAAGCTTTCTTAATGTTAGTTTTTATTATCCACAGTTATTCTAGTGAGTATTTTTGCCGCTGAAAATACGACAGCAGACTTCTTTAATGTTTTTTTGTACATGATCAGATGAGTGTTATATTTTTTCTAACAGGTTAGTGGTACTGTGGTTTGTGCTACTGATGTTGACAGATATAAGTAGCATGTATCATCAAACGAAAGTTTAAGAAGATAGAAGAGAAGAGAACGAGAACAGAGAGTGATTGTTATGGAAACGAAGGAACAATGAAGTCTGAGACAATTGATTGACATTATGTAGATGAAATGTTTACTATATGGTCCTCAAATTTTACTAAATGATTCTGTAATTTTTCACTGTAATACATTCGGTTGTCCCCACTTCTGTTCTCGTTCACTTCAGTACTACTATCCGACTTATTTCGTGTTAGCTTCCATCATTTATTCTTAGTATCATCTTATGAACTTGATTAACTTCAGAACACAAATGAAATATTATTTTGTAAAAATATATATATGTTATATTTTTGAAAAAACACATTCACAATTCATAGATCAGTGTTTCGTTATACCAGACAATAATAGTCTATGAGGTATTCATAATCATATTGATGACTCCATATTAGAGAACATGACCTCTGGGTGATTTGAGCATCAACTAACTTCTTGCAGAACTGAAATGTCGCTTTCTGAATGGTTAACCTGAATCATTGTAAACTGTACAGTTTGTTAACGAGAGTTTGAATCTACTAAGATGCATCATTTCACTCATAATCCCTAAAATACTTTACTGACGAGTCCAAACTCATATGGACTTTAGTATGAAATCTTCACATACATTCTTACTCTGCATGAGTAGGTGAGGTAGTGCAATTGCTACTAAAGTAAGCAGTAGGACGCAATATTCTATACTGGAAGAAAACGTTAATTATTTGCATTACAATTCTCAGTAATTATTTATTTGATCTAAGCTTTTATTTCGTAGTGGTACTCATTCTTACTAGTGTACTGTAAAATTTACCATACGGAAGGATTCCAGTTAAAACATTAATTTCCTGACAACCACTCATTTAAAAAGATCCAATTCATTATAGACAATGAAGAAGATTTATTGCTGAGATGAATGATTTTGATGGAGTTTTGTTCCCTGAGCTGAATGTTTTTTAATCTTTCCGTTGTTACCGAAACATGGGTAAGTTCGAATACTTCATTTCTACCTGACTTTTGTGCTGATGACGTCGTCTAGAAGAACAGTGAAAACTTTACAAGTAAACTACCTCCTTTAGACGATGAAACTCCATCGAAATCACTGCACCTTAATATTCCTTTAATTGTTAACTTATGATAGATAATTTTTCAGTTGAAGAATAGAAATCAGTTTATTACTTATAAGTAGTTGAATCAAAATAGTCAAAAAATATAGAACTCTTTATCGTCAAAATAACTTTGAAACCACTATTTCAGTGATACTGAAACTTTCTCATATAAACGTAATAGGTTTCGACACACATTCAATTTGACATCATCATCATGTTATGTTTGCATACAAGAGTAATATATCATTAAGTATATTAATAGTTAATTATTAATAAGGATGACAATCGAATTCTAGACACAAACTAATTAATATTGCATAGAATTCCTGTCTTAGAACTATTTGAATTGTATATACTGAACAGAAACTATGTCTTAACAAGTATTCCAACAATGACTAGCCTCTATTGATTTTTGTTAAAACTGTCCAACTCTTTTCGCTCTTATAATATCTTTTTTTCTTAACTTCATCTCTTTCTTCGAACAGGAATTTCATTTCAATAACTTTGTTCCTTCCCTTTCCCAAGTTAAGCGATAATATGTTAATTTGTTCTATGAAAAACCTATGAATAGATCAAGAATTGGTCATTGAAAACCGAATAAATAAAAGAAATTATACGGTTGTATATCTGCATTTCTTAAAAAGACAATTCGTACAAAGCATTGTTCACTTTCAATGATCAATTTAGAATGATCATTAATTAGAACATAATAATCATTAATCTTGATGAGCAAATCTAGTACTACTCATCATGTAAATCAGTAGTGAAACTCACTTCTTTCATTTTTCTTAAAAAAAATTAATCCAGACAATAAACAAAGTATTTTTCTACGTCGTTTAAAATGGCCAAGACCATCCACCCAATTTTCGTTGCTTAGCTCATGTGTTATAACTAGTTACTTTTATTCCTTTTCTTTTAAAACTCGTGTAGTGGAATAGGGCCACAAACTCAAATATAACTTTCATCAAATATGCTAGACACTATCACCATTGGATGCCGGCTCAGTGGTCCAGTAGGTTAAGTGTTCGCGCGCGAGACCGAAGGCCCTAGATTCAAATTCCGCGGGCAGGATCGTGGATGCGTACGGCTGAGGAGTCCCACAATAGGACGAAACGGCCGTCCATTGCTTCCAAGTTTCCAAAGGTGGTGGTCTAACATCAATCGGTTCATAATCTCAATCAAAGATTTTATTTAAACCTTCTAGAATTATATGTAGTTGTCTTTTATACACATGTCCAAAAATAATGAATAAAATACAAACTTAAACACGAAGAACATAACGGATAGTATCAACCATCATATAGAAATTTAAAACAGTCATCATTCAAGTAAAAAAATTTATCTTCATTAATTGTACACGCAAACACTCTTACTTCATTGCAACCAACCATAGATACATACATATATATGTTTAGAGAGACAGACACTTGCATATATATATATATATATATATATATATATATGTATTTCACAGTTGGCACATATCATCTAACTAAATTCGATTCAAACACATTAAATTTCATTAAACGTTCCGAATTCTAGTTCAAGAAGTAGAAGAAGAAGAAGAAGAAGAAGACTTCGACACTAATACTAAATACTAAATCTTATTTTTAGAAAATCTTTTATTCAATTAAATGATTTCATCATTTATCTTCATACACAGAATGTATCCATGAATATTTTCTTTTCCGTTTCTATGTTCAAAGTAATTTTCCTTTTGTTTTTCAAAAAAAAAATTAAATTAAATTAATTTAAATTCATTGAACCGATTCCCTGTTCCCTCTTCTAACAAATTGCCTGTCGAAAAACAATATTAATAACCATAATAATAATAATAATAATAAACAATTTATAATCGATTGATTGATTATATTATCACAGCAACAAAACAAAACAAAAAAATAAGGAAAGGAAAGAATGTTGGCAATCGACAAAGGCGACATTGTATGCATGTCTATGTAAGTCAATGAATAAGTACTTCTAAAATAGTAGAAGAACACATAATGATATATATATATATATAGAAGATTGGTGAAGTTTAATGAAAATATGGAAGAATGAAACTGGTTTCTATTCTCTTTTCTTTTCTTTTTGTTTTTTTCTTCATATTCTATTTCATTCTTTAGTTCTATTCTCATTTTTCTCTTTCTCTCCCTCTCTCTCTCTTTTTATTTTTGGTGTTATTGTCTTTGTTATGGTTTTATTTTAGTAAGAGAGAAGAATATAAATTCTAATTAAATAAATAAATAAAATTTCATTTTATTTATATACTACTCATGCTATGAATTGGTTAAATGATTCAATGAAAAACAAAAACAAGCTCCTTTATTCTTTAATTCACTTGATGTTATTTTACTTGTATCTAACCATTATTATTTAAGATTACAATCGATCAGTCTCATGTTAGTAAATGTACACATCTTGTGCAAATTGTATCGATATCATCTTAAGTCACAAGCTTTTGTTTTTAGCAAAGATGTATAGTGGTATTTGAAGTGAACGGTACTTGATTGGACTTCCAAAGTGAACATCAACTGTGGGATGCAGTTACATTCAGTTGATGAGTGTCAAACAGGATGAAACGCGCATCAGACTGGATTCCATTGCTAGCCACTATCTATCTTTGCTTAAAAAAGCTTTTTGTTTGTTTGTTTGAAACAGTAAGCTTTTTCAAGAAGAAAATTGTGGTAAATGAATACGTTTTAGAAGTTGATTTTATTATATGTATTGAAGAGATCAATTGTTGATTGAATAGTTCCGTGGTAAGATTTCAGATTGTAAAGTTAAATGACAAAAGATGAAATTCTTATAAGAAAATTTTATGCAATTGGTTCCCTTTATGCATTTAAATAAAGCAAGAACAAACATTGATGAAGAATAGTATGAATTCATATTATTTCGAGGTTTCTCGTCAGCTGCTTACAAACCAAAATTGTGATAGAGTTTTTACATGGAGATAGTGTGAAACAATTGACATAAATGAGTGTAAATAACTTGACTACAATTATAACTATATATATATATATATGCTAGAAACAGGTCAGAGGTCAAAAGAGGGGGGTTAATCCAGGGTGGATGGTGTAATAATTTAGTGAAGTTCATAAATTGTGTAATAATTGTAGAGATTAATGGAATTAAATAATGATAAGGTAGATTACGTAATAATAATTAAATAGGGTTTGGAAAGTTAAGATGATTTAAGAGGATCAGGTGGTGGAAATGTGTGGATAAAATTTATTTTAAGAATTAGGTAATAGGGGGGGTATAAATTATCTTAGAATAAGTAAATGAATAAAATAACCAGAACACAAAACAAACAGAAACAAAAAGATTACCAGGGTAGTGATAAGTTTATTAAAGTCTCTTTTTGGATGCATAAGTCCGGTTTCAGTTTCTCAATTGCAATGGCTTCAGCAAAGCGGAGAGTGGTAGTAGTTCTTTGTCTATTGATAATTTTAAACGCGCGCATAATATCGACGGTATGCCTGGTGTCAAGTAAATGCCGAGCTATTGCACTGCGAGGGACTAAAGCTTTAAACAGTCAGTTAATGTTTGAATATAATGTATAGGTTGTTTAGATTTTTGATCACTTTACGACTTGATCGATAGAATTTGATCATTAATAAAAAGGATTAGATAGTTGTTTGATCAATCACTAATCGGTGATTAATTGATTGGATAGACATTAACTGAACAGACATTCATGTAAATCATGGCAAATCACCAAATTTATTTTGTATGTATTTAAGACATTACATTAGTGCTTATCCATGATCACAGCCCAAGGTAAAGACCTGAATCTTTAGCTTTAACGTTTAACATATCATCTTCACGATGAAAATAATAACCATAATGATAATTAATGAAAAGAAGAACTGGTTCTTCCATAAAAAACATCACCTTTTCATGATAACATCTTAATTTCAATTTTTATTTTGTTTTTATTCTCAAGTTAACAAATCTGACATGTTCGACTTCATAATAAGTAAGGTTAACAAATGTTTCAACTTTAACAAATATGAGATTTTCCAGTTTGAATCATGATCATATCTTAGCTAGACCATAAATGAAATCCTGAAAACACTAGGCAGTCACTATATCTTATGGTGAGAGTTCTCAACAGCACGCACAAGCAACTAGAATCCAGGACCTTCAATCTCACGCGTGACCACTGTTAATGTCTAATTATAATTGATTCGTGATCTTTCTCAATCCTTCATCCATTTTATGACGTGCATAACCGTCTCCACAGTCATGCAGTCCCATACTAAGACAAAATGGCCGTTCAGTGTTTCCAGGTTTTCGACGGTGGCCTTGTAGTGTCAGTTGACATGTTAAGCCCATATAACTTATTCTAGCTTTCGGACAGGTTAATCCATTCATTCAACTTGAGTCACAATTTCACCTTATTAATTATTTGTTTATCAATCTTCACTGTTTTTACATGAACGCATATGTGTGTACCCTTCTTATCCTCTTTCTCACATGTCTATAACTTATTTTTGTGTGACTATAAATATTGATTAACGCTTGACTAAATAGAGTTGACTCACATTCCTTCTCCACTGTGCATCATTTTGTTCCGCTCTCTTCTATTCGCTTCATCCCACTGATTCCCTATCCAGATCAGTGAGTATACAAAATATATACATTCAAAAATCCATTCTCATATTTGACTTATATAATTCCGTTGTTCACTAACGCGATCTAAGTCGATGATTATATACGAGGTTTGACGATATATATATCTCAATTGTAATAAAAAACGATCTCACTGGAGTCAGATCCCTAAGTCACTAAAGTGATGAGTCATGTCATGATCATCATCCCATCTAATTAATGTCTAAACCAAGGTTCACTAAAGTCTAACTTACACTGACTCATGAATTCAACTGTTAAAATTCATTTATTTTTTGTTGTAGTAAAAAATTAATAAATAATCAAGAGATACTCCTGGAGTTCTAGTGAGAAGCCATTACCAGTGGAGTTCAACCAGGTCTGTTGTAAGAACTCAACTCACTGAAGACAATGGTATACGGTAGAGCAATTTCGTGGATTGGTTGAAGTTATACATTAACAACAGTGGATGTCGGATCAGTGGTCTAGTTGGTTAAGTGTTTAGCGCGAGACTGATAGGTCCTGGGTTCGAATCCCGCGGGATCGTGGATGCGCACTGCAGAGGAGTCCCATACTAGGACGAAATGGCCGTCCAGTGCTTCCAGGTTTTCCATGGTGGTCTAGCTTCAATTGATTCATGATTTCAATCTGTGAAATTTCTAAAAATCTCCACAAACCCCTTCTGATAATAAATCTATTAATTCATTCATTTATAAACTTACCAGCAATCACTTTAATACATTCAATATTTAATGGATATGGTGCTGGATAATTTGGTGTTTGAAAACTATATTCAATTGTACGTTTTGGTAAATTAGACATACCAAAAAATCCATTTAACATGGATGATGAATCTTTTATATATTTAATTTCAGTAGATTGAATAAATTCCATACATTTTATATCTTGATATGGTAATGTATAATCTGGTGATAAAATTTCTTCAGGTTCATAATAATTTGTAATTGGTTGTTGGTGTTGTTGTTGTTCTTGTTGTTGTTGCTGATGTGGTTGTTGTTGTTCTGATTGTTTTGAATGACTTCGACGTTCAATTTTATGAATTATTTGATTATTTGATTTATTATAAGGATTATGATGATAATCAATAATATATTGATTTTTTATATCATGATTATTATTGTGATATAAATTAATCGATATGTTATTATTGAAAGACATATTTGATTTCATAATAATAAGATTGGATTCAATTTTATTTAAATGGAATAATAAAATCAATAAATCCATATAAATAATCCATTTAAAATTGATTAGAATAATTGATTTCCAATATTTATAATGATACCATCTCCACCATAACCATTCTATGAACATAATTTTAATAAACATAATGATTTGATACAAGAATGATGATAGAAAATAATAGGACTACTACTTCTAATAATACTACTAATAATAATGATACTACTAATAATTATAGCAGTAGTAGTAGTAGTAGTAGTGGTGGTGGTTGTGATGGATTGTAAACCCTTATTATTATATAAATGAATAATGAATAATATAAATCTATCTGAAATTATTTCAAGTATATTATATTGTTCAATTTGATAATTGAATGTGAAATATGAATAAATAATAATAATAATGATTAATTGAATGAAATGAATCCAATGAATAATGATGATGAATTGAATCAATAAATTGATTATTGAATAATTGTAATATTTCTCATATTGAATGATAATTTGAATAATATAAGATAAATATTGATAATAATAATAGAATAATTTGATAATTTTTAACTTCATTGGTTTATATCACAGTTTATGAATGATGGATAATCTAATAAGAATAATATGAGAAGAAAGTTAATTATTTAATTAAATTATAAATTGCACATAAATACTATTGAATGTCGACTTAGTGATTAAGAGGTTAAGAGTTTGTATACAAGATTGATAGGTTTGTAGATTTGAATCCTGAGAGAAGGATTGTGGATACGCATTAACAAGGAGTCCCGTACTAAGATGAAACGGTCGTCCATTGTTTCTAGGTATTCATGGTGATCTAGCTTCAATGGACTCATGATTTTAACTATTAAAATTACTAAAATCTTTACATAACTTCTGATAACAATCATCTGTTTACTAGTGATTGACTTCAAGAGGCGTTTATTTGAAGTTCCGGTGAGAAGCCGTGACTAGTGAAGTTCAACCAGGTTTATTGTGAGATATTAGCTCACTGAAGACAATAGTGTACGATGGCGCAATTTCGTGGATTGGTTGAAGTTAGACATTAACACCGTTGGATGCCGGCAGGCTCTGTGGTCTAATGGTTAGGCGCTCGCGCGCGAGACTGATAGGTCTTGGGATCGAATCTCAGGAAGGGTGGGATCGTGGATGCGCACTGGTGAAGAGTACCATAATACGACGAAATAGCTGTCTAGTGCTTTCAGGTTTTCCATGGTGGTCTAGCTTCAATTGATTCATGATTTCAACTATTGTAATTATTCAAATCTCCACAACACTTCTGATTTAAGTATTATTTTACTAGACAGCGATATGAGATACAATCAATTCTACAAGCATAACAGATTAACGAATTTTTCTGTAAATACGAAGTAAACTTAACAGTTGAAATAATGATATAAGCGAAGATTGACCAATTGCAGTCCTGAATAACATTGAGAAGATACAAACAAATTATACCAAGTGAATTTAAACTTCATCACATTTCATAAGCAAGTGTCTATCAGGACTCAGTTGATAAGTAGATAAAGAGATGGCGTTCGAAGCTAACAGTAATACGCTCGAGTCTTGGAGTGAACATTAATTGTGGCATACAGGTACATCTAGCTGATGAGTTCAAAATAGGACGAAACGCGCCTCCTTGATTTGACTGCTAGCGACCATTCATCTTTGATAATGATAGGTATGTTTGTGACATAATAATAAGTCTTGATTTATTAACGATCATTCAAATTAATGAATAAAAAAACGAATTTAAAATTAACTCACAGTATTAGTGTCACATCAGTAATTTGACCTTTACCTCTTACATTACTTATTCCCTAAAACATTGACAACTATCTGTAATCTAACAGATTCTACAAGGTTGACATGATAATGGGTATTTAAGAAGTTTAGAAAGTTTATATATATACTATGAACATTATCTTTGATTGTCATAACAAGTGGATGACATCAAACAACAAATTTTTCAAGACCCTTTTTTAAATTGGTTAAAAGCTTCTTAAATACTGTCTTACTTAGCAATGTATGTCCAGAGATGATTTCTTGTATGAATACATTACACATATTTATTTTTTGATAAATTACATGAAATTATTACCGTTTGCATACCTAACCTCATAAACTGAAACAAGATTATATTGCCAATTTTGTTATCATTTTAAAGACCAGCAAAATGCAGAAAGCATTTGGATGCCTGTTGCTGCCTTAGTTTCAAACTCTGGAAGATTATACGCAAAATCGAACATGGAATCATTAGACATTTTTTGGGAAACATGATACCTTCAGTCTACTGTCATATTTAAACGTGTAGGGACTTACCGTTTAAGGATAAAATAATTGTCTACTACTTTATTGATTTCCAATGGACCTCTAGTTAATAATAGACTGAAAACTATCTACGAATCGTCTACTAGGATTTCAAAGGGCTAATTATGCAAGAATAAAACTTGATCTTGTACCACGATGTCTTAGAGTAAATTTCATCTAAACACGGAAGCTTATCTAATTTTACTGTGCTAGAACATGCTACCATAACTTGATGACGGTGAATATTACACTTGAAAGCTTAGACGACAACTTTCTAATCGATTCCCAGACCCCAAAAGTTATTGAGTTTTAATTCAATAAGAAAAATATAAGAAGTTCACAACAAATTTTACTACAGATATTAGATTATGTATAAAACTGCTAAGTTTGAATCTATCACGAGTTCACTTAGTCGGCGATCGAGAACAAGACTCGGTAACCACAAACCAATAAGCTAACTATTGATGCATCCAAGCCCAGCAAACTAGAGGGAGAGGTTCAAGCTTGAAATGGGAAGTATATTCTGCAAAACAGCCAGAAACGAGCGATAACAACAAACACAATTCAAAACGTATATATACAATGCGAAACCGTCCTTGGGAGAGTTACCAAACAGCATACCAAGAGACGCAACGGACCGATAGCATTTAAGATATTTCCCAGTAGGAAATACGACATGAAGGTGACAAGAGCACCTTTGGCGCGAAAACAAAGAAATTCAAATTTCCTAAATAAAATTGCAAAATTAGGTGGTTCCCCAAATGGGATCTAACGTCCCCAAGAAAAACACGAGTGTATTTATTGAAATGTTTGGCCGTTAAGATCTAATATATTTACAGAGAACATACTAAAAATTAATTAATCGATTTGGTAATTATTCAATCAGTATCAAACAACCATAATCAATTATTTTCTAGGTTTCTCGTAAAAAATTGCACAGAATACTGTGTCATCGAAATGTTTTTTTTCTTAAGATTTCTACTGGCTTCTGCAAAATTTTCCCCGGGAATTATCAACGTCTCCTAAAAGAACAACCAATTTAAAAAAAACAAACAAATCAAAATGCTCAGAGAAAAAACTCCATCAAAATCATCCAGCTGAGCTACAAATCTTCTCCACCATCACAAATCTATATGCATTTATCTATAATCTTTCAGTTCTACCTTGTCTGAACTTAAAAAAACACAATGAATTTACCTCATCAATATAAGTTTCTTCAGTAAGAACAAAAACAATTCATTTTAGGCTTAATAGCATTTCGAACCATTCTTAAGTGAATTGAAGATAGACTCACGCCAAGATATATTGAAACAAGCATACAGATGCATAAAGTCTATGCTCCCCACAAATAACATAATTGTCGTTTTCGTTCAGAAATATAGTTATTAAGATTTACAAAAAACTATTGAACTAGATAATTTAAACAATCCTAATCATAGCCACAATTTACCTAGTAAAATTCGAGTTAAAATAAAAAAGCCAAATGTATTATTATTTGATTAGACATAGTAACAGTAATGTACATATTCAGTAATTTATTTAGATACTGACTGATAATTCAGTAAATTAGACAGCGAAAAATTGTAATAGATAGATACATAAGGGGTGGTGTTAGGCGATAGTGATGATGATGATGATGATGATGATGATGATGATGATGATGATGATGATGATGATGATGATGATGATGATGATGATGATGATGATGATGATGATGATGATGATGATGATGATGATGATGATGATGATGATGATGATGATGATGATGATGATGATGATGATGATGATGATGATGATGATGATGATGATGATGATGATGATGATGATGATGATGATGATGATGATGATGATGATGATGATGATGATGATGATGATGATGATGATGATGATGATGATGATGATGATGATGATGATGATGATGATGATGATGATGATGATGATGATGATGATGATGATGATGATGATGATGATGATGATTGTAAACAATCATCTAAATCTGTTCAATTATTTTTTTAATAATCTTAATCTAAATTAGTAAATTAAAACAAATTTCACTGTCAAAATGAATAAAAGATAAATAAATAAATAAACCATTTACCTAAGCTGTACACTCGTATATATAGTTATATGGAAAATGTATGTCTATAGGTGGATAGAAAAAATTGCATCACCAAAATGAATTCGAGAATAAATAACAAACGAGGTTACGTACTAATCAAGTGGTAATGAAGAAAATCATTTATAGGTTAGTACGTAACCTCGTTTGTTATTTATCCTCGAATCCATTTTGATGATGCAATTTTTTCTATCCTCCTATAGACATACATTTTCCATATAACTATATATACGAATGTACAGCTTAAGTAAACGATTTCATCGAAAAGAAAATTTTCTTCGCTGAATTCTTTTTTTCTGATTCAACGACGTTATCGGTTATTTTAATTGAATAAATAAACAATAGAATCTTTTAAAATAATTGAACTATTGAATAACAATTGAACATATAACAACTTAATCATTTAAACAAATAAAGGTGTAATAGCAACATAAAAAAGTTCTAAAAATTAATGTGAATTAATAATGATTTGGTTTCCATTGTTTTAAATTCAAACAAGATAATGAAAATAAATCTACACAACAGAACATAACAACACTTATAAACAAAACCTGGAAGCACTGGACCGTTTTTCATGGTGGTCTAGCTTCAACTGACTCATGATCTCAATC